TTTCAGGCTCTTTGTATGCTTGACTTTCCTTAGAAAATTGCTAAATAAACAATTGTATAACAAATCGGCATTCTTGACAGCTAAGTGAAAGGTGAAACACGATTACACTAACCATATATATGTAAAGTTTGTTCACTCGAATTCTCATTGTTCTTGTCTGTGCATGTGTATTTAGCTCTGTAATTTAGCTTGATGTTCTTCAATTATTGTGAGTACTTATGTAGCCTCAAGCAAGGATGTGAGTATTTGCTTTTTTTCGCTTCAGGCATGCACGCTCGCTAGGAGAACAGCCGAGTCTTTTCTGAAATGGGTACACAGGAGCCTGCACAACACTGGTCAGGATGCTAGTAAAATGAGAGGACCAGAGCAGAAAGTGAAATGTAAGGCATTTTGCTATTACAGTGTATTATGCCACACCCATCTTGTATTATGTGTCCGTGCTATCTTGCCAACATTAGCTTGTTGTACACAGGGCAATAAGCATATGAACAGCTTAATTCATTTGCACCCACAGACATTCAGATTCAGGTAGTCAGGGGCCCGTTTCACGAAGCTATCGTAAAAACACCATCTTAAGGATATCCTTAGAATTCTTGTACGAGAGCCTAACGATGTCCTAAACGTCCCTCGTTAAAGTGTTTCACGAAACTTATGTCGGTGCGTTGTTAGACATTCCTTAAAATTCGGCTGTAACGATATTGCTGGCGGCATAGACTGGTACCCTATCTCTATACCTTGCTACTAGATAGTCTATATATAGAGACATGTTACAAGTCTAATGGCGACCCAGCTCACTGTGAGTTGCTACGCTAATCTCTCACGTCATTTAGTTTTAATAAATGTAGGTACAACAGCGTGCAAACTAAAAATAATAGGTTAAAAGTATTTTTAAATGCCAAGTACCTAAGGAATAATTAAACTAAAGCAAGGTTGTCATATTTCCTGCAACTAGAACTACCACAAATGACGTATTGACTGAACAAAAATGCAACATAAATTCTGAAGGTTTAGATTTACGTTTACTTTGATACAGTATTGGCGCCATAGCATACAGTATTTTATAGTTAATTTATACATGATTGCTATAATATTCAATTCGTATATAGTGCTTCACATGTCTTACCCTGAATGTTTTACCCTGCACGCACTAATACATTTGTGAGCAACCCCATTATATAGTGGCTTTCAATACCCGTTATTTGTGAGTCAAAATAGAGACCATTCATGATTGCTAAATGCCATGTGATATCTAGCATTACACACTACTACTGAAAGTCAGTTTAGCTATTATTATTATTGTTGTTGTTGTTGTTGTTGTTGTTGTTGTTGTTGTTGTTGCCATAGCTACACAGTTTTATAGGAGCAACATACCTAAAAGGAATGTGCTCGATTTCACTGCATTCAATTTGTATGCAGAACAAAAAACTGAAACAGGCATTATGCACAAAGACTTTCTATACAGAGTTCAAGCTGCATACACTGAATGTTAGTGTGCAGCTATCTACATAGATATTGCATTATAGAATCTTGGAGCACGATGTTGGTTTTGGATCCTTTGGAATTTTTCTTGATTGACATATCAGTAAAATTTATTGATATCCATCAGTCACTAAGGGCTGTTTCCATTTCTGTGTAGAGGTGCTAAACTAGTGATCGTAGTTTAAAGATCAAATTCAAAAATTCAATACATAATCAATTTGTAACGCTCAGTTCAATCGTAGTTTTCCTAAAAACCTGTTGTTGCGCAATTCGTGTTGGACATTGCCTGCGGTCACTTCGCTCCCTAAGCTTTCTTCACTTCTTACTGTAAGCTCTGAGATGCTGATGACAATATTGTATTGAAGCGATGTGCACCTTTGACACTTCATCTACTCGCGGATATTCTACAATCTTGAATTTGGTCGGAGGTTAATTTAGCCTGCCGCTCCATGATATTTTTGTAGCCATCTGTGGTGGAGTGAAGCGTTACATAGGTAGTGATAGACAGATTCAGATTGTGTGACAATGTGTGTGATTTATTAAGTGATATAGTACATGTACATAATCATTTAAACCTTGCTACTATACTACTAAATATAATCTGTATTTACTCACCGTCATTTTTTTATTGGAACTGCTCAAGTGCATGTCGTATTCATGGAAGATGGATGATACAACCCTGTGTAGCTATGACCGTGTCAGTAAAATTAACCTCTAATCAAGATTGTAGAATATCCGCGAGTAGATGAAGTGTACGAAACTATTCTAATAGTATAGGTCTAGGGGGAGCTCTTTTCTGGCATAGCACTTACCTCTGCTCCGTCTACCCGCAGCGCTGAACGACTCGTCGCTGAACGCGAAGGCTTCGCGCATGCGCATGTACAAGTCGGACAGCAATCGGTCGAGTCGCGACCTTGAGAGTGACCTTGGCGGAGATGGTGCGAGCCTCAGCAGCCTTGCCGCCGACACTCAGGAGCGCGCGTCGATCACGTCGGCAACCTCCCTCGCCTCGACCGCGTCCGACAACGATAAGGTAGGGGGAGCCACTGCAGCACGGCGTATGCGCGGACAGTGGGTGAATGTTATAGGCCGGGTGGGTAGGGGGATGGGGGTTGACTGCTAAGGTGGGAAAGTTATACTTTTAGTGTAGCCGCGATGCGAGTATAGCCGGTAGATGACTTTGCTTATATCGTGCGAGGTCAGTGGGCATGTAGAAGCCATTGATTGCAGTAATTTTATGTAGGTTATCCGTATAGCTGAAGGGGATGTGGGTTGATGAATCGATGCTACTGCATAGGTTTATGACTGAAAAGGAGACGTTATGTATGCATATTACGCAGACCGTTGCCCAAGCATACTCCTTGTTAGACTACGAATCTCTAGAGGCACCTGATTGAATGACTCCTAGAAAGTGTCATTTACTTTCTGATGTTGCAGATTTATATACAAACATAGAAACATGTGTCAATGTAAATGTTACAAACCATGTGCATTAGCATTATATACAGTAAAGCGCGTATACAATAAAGTTTGCCAATATGACGCTACTGCAGAAACTAAATGCTGCTGAGTGACACATGAAATATTATATATAGGTATATAATCCCTCCGCTGATATCAAACCGAATCTCCACGGATTTCCATCTGACCATCCACAGAGTAAAATATGCACAAAATTTCGTGAAAAATATTCTAGTTTTGATTTTGTTTAGTCGAATTCGTTAGATATAGTACAATAGTAAAATGTTAAAAACCACGTGTATTGGCATTATATACAATAAAGCTCGTATACAATAATGTGTGCTGATATTACACTACTGCAGAAACTAAATGTATCAGGAATTATATATAGATATATCATCCCTCCTCAAATTACGTTGCTGTCTGTAGATTGAAATGGTGGTGAAGCCGTGTGAAGGTGTGAAAGACATGATCTTGCACAGCTAGGGCAGTGTCTCTAGCAGTTATACCAGACGTAGTACGTAAGGTCATCTCCATCAGATAGAGCCATGTATATATAGGCAGTAACGCATCCAGCTATCCAGCTATTTTGTATGCGTTCGTTGGTTATATAGACTTAAGGGGTGTGCCCACCGAAATAGGAAATGAACGACATTGTCTTAACCGGCAGCTAATACAAACATCCCTTGATCTTGGGCTAATGCTCATTCCAGTCATGGTCCTAACAGTAGAAATGATCGAACACGCTAACCTCCACCCAAAGTGCCACTCGCTCGCACAGTTCCCAATGCTGCGAGGATGGCATTCACTGATCGATGCATGGTTATCAGTCTATGTGCAACATTACACCAACGCTATCAGGCACGTATAATAGGCTACTATGTGGACCTAGTGAGTAAGTGGGATGGGGAGGGAGCAGCACCCACGCGTAAATACTGGTCGGTGGGTAGGGGGCCAGCAAGCAATGCGGAGCAGTCGGAGTGACCAGCAGATGTGTAGGAAGCAATTCTGTTGAGGCACATTGCCGACTACAAGGTAGTTATGAACATGTGGCAGCGTGAAATTCTGTTGTAGGCCGGGCGTGACCCATGTTTCGCTGATGTCCATCCTACTAGGTTACTTTATTAAATGCTTCGTCCTTCCGTAATGGTGTCGGCAAATATAAAAGTTAATAATTTTATGTTGTCCGTGTGTATTATATATGTATGACAGACACAAAAGTCTGTTCGGGATATGGGAAAGCAGGAAATTGTGGTACGTACACCTTTCTTTCCCCATTTACACTTACTGGGTATGAATGAATTTTTGAGACTTAACCCTTAGTTTTTGTTATATACATGTTTTCAAGAGCGTACTTAATACGCTCTTGATGTTTTAGACCAAGCGCACCACCGTTATTTCTCAGCTTTTGTGTTGAATTTCTGTTGTTAACAATGATCTTTTAGTCTGAGTAAAACTGACGTTTCAAATAGTTGAAATCTACAAAATTAACAATTTCATGTAAGGTGAGATTCGGGCAATGTTACAACAAGACGTAATTGAAGCGTGTTGCTAGAATGGGATATCACCAAACAAAAAATGTGTGTAAATAGTTTCCGGTTGCAGCAGGTAAAATACAGCAGAGAAATCTTGCTAAATTGCTAGGGTTGATAGGTAATTTTTCATGGCAACTGCAATTCGTCACGATATGGGTTAAACAAGTCGGTTCTTTTCCCCCTAGTGGGGCCAAGGAACCGTCTGTAAGACCCACCATGACAGAAACCAGCAACAAGAAGAAAAGGCTATATATATAACATATATAAATAACATTAAAATAAAATATTTTCTTCAAAATGCAATCAAAACGCTAGGGTCGGCCCGGTAGCAAAATTTTTTTCCCTACTTGAGTTCCGGACCACAGCCAATCAGCGCACTCCATTCACTCGACTTCCTCGAAGCAACAATGTAAAATGAATACCATGCACCTAACCCTAACCCCTATCACTAACTATAATCCAACCATATATATACGAACCATATATTACAAAACACTATCTATGGTGGGTCCGGAACTCGAGTGGGGAAAAAATTTCGCGGCGCGGTAATAGGAAACACGTTTTTTTGCTTACACGTAATTAAGATGGCCGAAGGTCAGAAACAAGAATCTCTCTGATGTTGCAACCAACAACCAAAATTATGTACAGCCGTGTATATGTGTACGTGGAATTTGAAAGCATATCATAGATCCCCGCTCGTTTTTGAAGGCTACCGATTTATCCAATGCCCCAACCATTTCGATTTACAGGCGTTTTATTATAGTCAAAATTTATTGCGCCGTATTTTATTTCCGATTCTAGCAATTTCTGTACTGGGAAAACAATTTATCGTCTTGGTCTTATATTACCCTACAGTAGTAGTATTTAGTGCTAGGTTTGCAGAGAAATAATAACCTATATCGTTAGAGTATTCCCAAGCGAGAATTGTCACGCTCGGTGTTATAACGAACGTGAGGCAGCGAGTCACGTCACACCGCTCGTGACCAGGATTTCCCTGGTATCAAGAGTAGATAATAACACATTGATTATACATCGTGTTATTATCTACTCTTGCTGGTATGCATTGCATAGCGGGGAAATCGCTTGCTTGTTTTGGCGTAGTTCCATTGAACACGGGGAGTGAGGGTGCATGTAAGGGAGTTAGCCGCAGGGTTATTTAAGCAGCAGGTGGTGCTGAGGGATGCCGTGATCGGTGAGATGAAGAAGTCCTCTGCTGCAGCGCCGATATTTTTATATTAGTTTCGGAGCAGTGGACCGTCTCTGCGCGTGCGCGTGTGCGTGCGTGCGTGGATATATGTGTGCGTGCATGTGTCACTGTGGGTGCATTTGTCCCGGCCAACATTTATGTATTTTGATTTAACTATTGCAGGCAAGCCTCGTGTGCATTTACTACTAACCTCTTGCTCTAGTGTCTTAATTAACTCTGGCTTAATGTCTGAGCGAATATAAGAGAAACCCCCTTACACGCAAACAACGACGTGACCTTCTGGCTTACTGTGGTGATGGCAATGTGAATGTGACAGTCAGGGGGTTGAAGAGATACTACTCTAGCAGTACGGGGGTTGGAGGGGTGAGTGTCTGTTACTATTGTAGCAGTGCACTGTAGCAGTAAAGTCGTAGTAGGGTTGAGTGTCTGTTACTACTGTGGTACTAAGGGGGTTGGATGGGTGACTTTCTGTTACTATTGTAGCAATTAGGCGTTGGACGTGTGCCTGTCTATTACTATAGTGTTGTAATAATCAGGAGGTTGGGGGTAGACGTGGCAGCTGCCATGCCTGTTTCCATGCATGGAGATTGCCATGCTCGTTGCCATATTCGTTGCCATGAAGGGCATGCATGTCTTCATGTCTGTTGCTATGGAGGACATGTTGTCATACTCGTTGCCATGCATGACACGTTGTCATGCTCGTTGCCATGCAAGGCATGATGTCATGCGCTTTGCCATCCAGGGCATGTTGCCATGCTTGTTTGCCATGCTCGTTGCCATGCTCGTTGCCATGTAGGATAGGGAAGCTGTTTGGCGGCGACACAGTTGCTACGCGTGTCATCGATCATCTCGCTGCTTCTATTCCTACTGAGATCAGCGGCTGACAAGTGACAACACCGCGTTGTTTTAATATCAGTGTCACGTCGTGTAAATGTTGAAACTTGGTCAACATTGCCTGCCGGTATTATACGCGACATGCGCCGCCCCCGCCGCCGCCGCCGCTCCCTGGCAAGAGAGGGTGTGAGAGCGAGCTAGTTGACATTGTTTGCGATCATTACAGTACACTTGAGGCGCTAGCACCGTGAAACAGTGCGCGTTTGCCGGGTGCTTACCCGTGTTTGCTCGGCTAAATGTATTACGTTGGTTTAGAATGCATGTGCAGTAGCCGGAGCGGGGTCGGCGGGAGAAGGGGAGTTCACGGGGCTGGAGGATGCACTGTTGTTGACGGTAGATGTATACGCGGCGCGTATATGGCGGTTGCAGATTTGGCGAGGCGTGGTGCTGGCGGGTCTGGTGGTGCGTGTGTAGTTACGGTATGTGTGTGTGTGCGTGTGTGTGTGTGAGTGTGTGTGTGTGCGTGTGTGTGCGTGTGTGCGTGCGTGCGCGTGCGTGCGTGCGTGCGTGTGTGTGGACGCGAAACCCTAGCTTGTCGCCATGCACTCGAACGCGTGAGCGGTGACGAGCATGAATTACCAGCCACGCATACACACACACGCACGCACACATGCGCCCCCCCTCACGCGCGCACCCACCCACGCACGCACGCACCCATACACGCACGCACACATGCGCGCGCCCCCCCCACGCGCGCGCACACACACGCGTGCACACATACACCGCATACACACGCATGCGCGCACACACATGCACCGCACACACTCAAACTCACACACGCATGTACGTACACACGCGCGCACTCATCCAACACACACACGCACACGTATCGCGGACGCGCAGGTACGCACGCGCGCATGCACACACACACGCACGCACGTACACTGCCTACGTGAGGATTCACATGCACAGCTGCTTCCGTCCCTGCTTTCAGTCCATACTAGATAGAGCGTTATTTCCAGTGTACCAGCATTGTAACGCGCCGATAGCTTCATTATTCTATGAGACATCATGGCAATTGCATGCGCGCGCAAGAAGTTGCTATACGTGCTTGAACCGCGAGTTGACATAATAACGACGTCGTTACATCGTGACACGATAAACGCAGGTACGTGGGAACGGTCGAGTCGCCCGAGCATTAGCGTGATGAATGCATCGTTTCTGCAAATTTACGTGCAAATATTTTTTACATAATCATATTGAAGGGGAAATATTATAAGTAGGTTATTAGTAGATAATTGATAATAATCCCCTGCCACTCGCTTGGATGCATGTGCTATGGGTTTTCTAATGCAGCTGC